TGCCTTTCTCAATTACAAAGCGGTAATATATCACTAATCGAGATGAAATCTGTGAATTCTTAGGTATTGTATCTATCACACGTTTCTCTGAAATTAGATTGAAACTGAATGAAAATGAATATGTGTCACGTAGCAATACACACATACATACTCACACACAGGTACTCGACAGAAGAGCACAATGAACGCTATTAAGCCTGATTCAGACAGACGGGTGCGTTTATTTATGCCATAGGGCGGTAACAGGATGCCGTCACATGAGGCGTAACTTGCGGTAACTTACGCCGACCAATCACATCGTCTCATTTCAGTATCATGTCACGTCCTAGTGACCTTCCTACTCTCTTTATTCCTAGGCTAGAAAGAATGGGGCGCTCTCTATTTTTATGAGGCAACCTGCTTACACCGGCTATACCTCAGGGACGCCGAGAGCACGGACTATACTGTGGAACTAAGGACCAGTGTTGTTAGACGGACTAGGTTTTTTCGCGCATGCGCGTATTACCGTGACGTAACCATGACGACTACAGTAACGTATGATGTTTGCGCGCGCAACTACGGACCAAGACCCTGGACCACGGAGTTTTGGCGGAATCGCAGGAAACAGATAAATTGAACGTACGTAAAAATAAATAAATTATTACAATATATGTAATATAAAAGTGTATTATTATAATTTATGTATATTAAAATTAATCAATAATTCAAATTATAAATTGTATAAATAAAAACTAAACTCGTAATTTACGTATGTTATAACATAGGTACACGTATATGTATATATTTTATAATTTCATTATTTGTTTATTGTATGTTTATATTTAACATTTTTAATTAAATTTATTATATTTATAATAAAAATTATACGATTCATTAATTATTTTAAAAAATTTTCAATAATTTAAGAAAAATTAAACAGAGGGGGAAATCAGAACCCCATTTCATGCGAGTGACTACTTCATTAATACTACATTCAATGCGCATGCGCGAAAAAACCTAGCCCGTCTAACAACACTGCTAAGGACCGAGTGTTGGCACAGATTAATAGACAGATCGCCAAAGGTCTGGATGAAGGAGAGACCAGCATTTCTCACTGATTTCAGCGCCATATCGTAGTAGTGGTCAATGCAGTAACTATTAATACGTTCCCAAGATAAGAGCGTCTCATGCTCATGAACTCGTCCGGCGGCATGTACGAGATTTATCTTTTCGTAGCGTTCGCGTATTTCGGAAAGGACAGAATTTTATGATGTTATAAATAAATAAATAAATAATAAATAAATAAATAAAATATTAACCTGACCTATTATAATTATTTTTTAATAAATGTTTCATTATTATTATCATCTAAGTCTAAGTCGTTTAATTAATTTTTAGTTTTTTAATAATTAATTTAATTTATTCTAATCATTTTAATATGTGAAAAATACTAATACGTATACGTTTTATAATGAATTAATATATTTCGAGAGTCGAATTATATATTTTTAATAATATAAAAGTGTTCAAAAATTATATTTGACTTTTAATTTTAATTATTTTAGCAAAGAGTTCCGAAATCTCTTACACACATAATAGGGATTTTGTTCATCCATATAATTCGCAATTAAGTATATATGTTAATTATTAATTTTAATAAAATACAAAATTAAAATTAAAGGTCAAATATAATTTTTGAACATAAATATATTTAATTCGTTATAAAACGTATACCCGTGATAGTATTTTTCTCGTACAAAAATAACTAGAACAAATTAAATTACTCATAAAAAAATAAAAAATAATTAAATAATTTATATTATATATGATAATAATAAAACATTTTATTAAAAAAAACAGATTCAATAAATATAAGTATATATATAACATGTACTTATATTTATTGAATCTGTTTTTTAATAAAATGTTTTATAAGCTTAGAAAACTTGACTTTGACGTAACTAGCAAATTTTATTTAATTATTTCACGACGGTTTGACGTAATAAAATGTTTTATTATTATTATATAAAATATAAGTTTAAATTCTTTAATTAATTTTTAATCTTTTATGATTAATTTAATTTACTCTAATTATTTTTGTACGAGAAAAATACTATCATGGGTATACGTTTTATAATTAATTTAATATATTTGTGTTTAAAAATTATATTTGACCTTTAATTTTAATTTTTATTTTATTAAAATTAATAATTAACATATATACTTAATTGCGAATTATATGGATGAAAAAAATCCCCATTATGTGTGTAAGAGATTTCGGAACTCTTTGCTATAAAATAATTAAAATTAAAAGTCAAATATAATTTTTGAACACTTTTATATTATTAAGAATATATAATTCGGTTCCCGAAATATATTAATTCATTATAAAACGTATACGTGATATTATTTTTCTCATATAAAAATGACTAGAATAAATTAAATTAATTATTAAAAAACTAAAAAGTAATTAAACGACTTAGACTTAGATGATAATAATAATGAAACATTTTATTAAAAAAAGATTCAATAACTAGTAGGTCAGGTTATAATTTTTTATTTATTTATTTATAACATTATGAGCTATTAAGCTCATCATCTCGTTCGCTCTCTGTCTTGCTTTCATTCGGCAAGTCACAAACGATATATGATACTCGTATGTTCCTACTTCAACTCTCGAGAATCTGAAACAAACGAAACTCGTGTCCAATATACAGGGTGTCCGGTAACTAACAGACCAATGATTACAAATGGATTCTTTGGTCAATTTGGGAACGATTTTTCCTCAGCGAAAATGTCGAAAAAGGTCATCATTTTTTACAACTTTCCAATCTTTGTCATTATGTATCTTTATAACTAAGCCTTAAATTAAAATTTTATTATAGTAAACTCTACCTGAAATTAACTGAAGAATGTAATTATGTTAGACTTTTAACTCCAAAACGTTTAGTTTTCAAAAAACCTATTTTTTTCAATCGCTTATAACTCGAAAATTATTGACTTCTCAACATTTTTGCTAAGGAAAAATCGTCTCCAAATTGGCCAGAGAATCCGCCCTTAATCATTGGTCCGTTAGTTACCGGACACCTTGTATATATTATATAAAAGTGTATAGCACGTCAGAAGCTTGTGAGCTTACAGCGATAAGTAAAAACAATTGCGTATTTATTTCATTGCGTTTATCTGTTTAAACGCGCGCTTTAATTTTTCCAACGTTTTTGCCTGTTTATATTTTAAAGGTCCTCTCTTCTAAAAATCTTGTTTTAAAGATCCTCTCCGCGAGCAAAATTCGAAAACATAAATTATTTAATATTTTTACTTTATTATTTGTAAATCCTCGGTAATTTCAAAATTTTTCTATTTGAAAATTATTAATTTTCTATTGCCAATTAATTTTATCACAGACTTTACTCTTACTCCCATTGCACTTTCGTTTGCGGTTTTCAGTATACGATTTTTTATCGTAGTTACTGAAAATTATTATTGTGAATTATACTTGTGCAGTGATTTGAAGAATTTACAATTTCGTTGAAATTGTTGATTTTTCAAAAAAATTACGAGATTCGCGGAAATTGCGTGCTTTCTTGGCATTTTCCGTTCGCGGCAGGCGGTTTATTTTTGATTGTTGCAAGTGTTTTTGTTTTTTTTTTTTATTAAAATAGATAATAATAATGTGAAATAAATCACGATATTTGACAGATGTGCATA